TCTTGTAAGGCAACATAGTGATACTGATTGTTCACTCTGTCTATTTTCTCAAGGATGACTTGCCCTGTTTTGAGTGATAAATTGACTCCCAAAATATGATTCAGGACAAACTTGTAGTTTGACTAGTGCTTGTTAGAGTTATTATTATTATTTTTACTTTCTAATGAATTCTTGTTAATAATATCCTGTTATATTCTTGGTTTTTTTCTTTCTTTCCATCTTTACACTGAATGACTGGACTTGATGCTTTAAAATTTTCTAGTTTACATCATGAGGATGCCTTTTCTCATGATTTTAGTTGGATAGATTTAGGACTTCGACAACGTAGGTTGGAAGGAGAAGAGTACATATCAATTGTTGATGAATTCATGGAAGCTGTTCATACACGTTGGCCCAAGGCCATTGTGCAGGTCTATTTTTGAGAAGTATTAACTTTTTATATTAGTTTGGTTTTTTATTTGTCTAGTAACTTGATTGTTTTTACTTTTATCAGTTTGAGGATTTTCAAATGAAGTGGGCTTTTGAAACGCTGCAACGTTATCGTAAAAGGTTTTGCACATTCAATGATGATATACAGGTGATTACAGGGTGTGATGTCTTTCTATCTTTTATGGATTTGAAAGGCATATGTAGTGTAATACAGATTGCTGCTATTCGAAAATCAGTACCTCTGATAGTTGTGCTTCATGTATCGTAGGGAACTGCTGGTGTTGCACTTGCAGGATTATTAGGAGCTGTGAGAGCCCAAGGTCGACCATTGGCTGACTTTGTGAAACAAAAGATAGTTGTTGTGGGAGCTGGGAGGTAATTGACATTGGTCGTTGACTCAGAAAGATCCCTATATAGGCTATTCCATTGGTTGCATGTGCATGTTACTAGGCACTCTTTTCATCCCTTTAATTCACTTTTTTTGCCTTTCAGTGCGGGACTAGGTGTTCTTAACATGGCTGTACAGGCTGTTGCAAGAATGGCAGGGAACGGTGAAGCTGCTGCAAAATATCATTTCTTTCTGATTGATAAAGATGTATAGCTCTATGTCAACTCTTTAAGTTCTTGCAGTACTTTGTGTGATGATTGATAGTTGTAACAATATTCACCACATTCAGCAAATTTATTCACTAACGAGCTTATGGTTTTGTTAACTGTTTACTATAATTACACTCTCATTTTTGTTGATATTGCTAACCTTCTGTGGTGAACAAAAGGGACATATAATCAAATGTGTTCTTGAAAATATTTTGGCCTCTGAGTTGTGTATTTATGTAAATGTATCAGAGGATTCACTGAGGAAAATTGTTTGGATACAGGGTCTAGTCACAAAAGAGAGGAAGAATCTTGATCCTATGGCTGCACCCTTTGCAAAAGATCCAGGAGCAATTGATGGGCTTAGGGAGGGAGCTAGTCTAGTTGAAGTGGTAAATCTCAAAGGACTTCATTTAAGTACCCTCTACTGCAGAAAGTAGAAAGATTTTGATACATAAGAGTCAAGTCACCTTGCTTAATACAAATTACCTTCAAGATTATACATCATTATTAATAAAACTTTAATTGTTTAGAGCCCAATTTTGTGCAGGTTAAGAAGGTCAAGCCCCATGTGCTTCTTGGTTTGTCTGGAGTTGGTGGTGTCTTCAGTCCAGAGGTTGATACTTTCTCAATAGCATTTGGTTATATTTTACAACCTCCTTATCACTTAAAGTAGATTAATTTACCGAAGATGATTTGATTCTGTTTGGATTTGTGTTGTTTTGACACCTTGTGGCCTTGCACTGAATGATTTTTTATTACTGAACTATATGTTTTCTTGTGTCAGCAACTGACCCTCATGCGTAATGCTTAAACCATTTATTTGAATGTAAGAGTATCTAAGAGAGATAAGCCTGTTATATGTACTGCCCTAGATTTATAAGTTTCTTCACACCAATTTCCACTTTGAATTTCAGTGTTTCTGATTCACATCACATCATTTGTGGTATGATAACTCAGTTATTTTGTTATTCTGACCATCATACAGATGCACTGATGGGTTTACTTCATATTGTAGCATTTGAAAATTCATTGCCCTACCCTATTTGTTGTCTCAATTGTGGAAAATATTTATGGTTCCTTTTCTTTAAATTAGTTTCTTATAGGTAAGGGTTGTCATTTCATTTTAGGTACTTCAAGCAATGCGAGAATCAGATTCAGCTAAACCTGCGATTTTCGCTATGTCAAATCCAACCATGAATGGTTTGTTTCTCTGAACCTCATCAAACCTCACAAACAATTTCCTTATTGCACCTAGATTTTGTATCTGACTCTGTTTTCCCTATGTTTTTTAAAAAACAAAAAAATGGAACAGCTGAATGCACTGCTGAAGATGCTTTTAAGCATGCTGGTGAAAACATAGTCTTCGGAAGTGGAAGCCCCTTTGATAATGTTGATCTTGGTATTTTCCTTTTTAGCAATGTCTTTCTGTTATGGATTGTTTTGGCACCATGTAATTAGAGCAATGGGTTCCTTGACTTAGTATTGGAGCCATTGCTGGCTACGATATGGTGCTACAAATCTGACTTTTTTTTACTATCGTCTGAGTAATTTAACCTTTGACTATTCTAATTATGTTGGCAGGCAATGGAAAAGTAGGCCATGTAAATCAAGCAAATAACATGTACCTCTTTCCAGGGTTAGTTTCCTGTATCTTCTTTATTTCAAGTAACTATGTTTAAAGCTTGAAATATTAATACCGTATTTTGGTTGCCTCTAAATGCAGGATTGGTTTAGGCGCACTTCTCGCAGGTGCTCGTATTATATCGGATGGCATGTTACAAGCAGCTTCTGAATGGTAATAACATAAGACTTGGCTACTTCCTTGCTCTAACCTAAACATGGTAAAATAACTATGCTGATGAGACATAATTTACACTGTTATTAAAAAAGAGTAGGGTTGTGTTTCCAGACTTGGGTATCAGCCTAGAGATTATTATAGTGATTAGCGGACAGTTCTGATAAGTGTCACTGCAATAAGAAATGTTAAAGGTGAACATGGCTTGAATTTTGAAATTAATTTCTGACACAATGATTCTGTCCAGCCTTGCTTCATATATGACAGATGAAGATATCCAAAAGGGCATCTTGTATCCATCTATTCACAGGTAACATTCTCAGCTCCTCGCAGCATTAAGAGCTAGTCTGATTTTTATAAAAAATGGCATCTCAACTGCTGTAACTGAGAGGAGGGTGGGGCAACTGGTTGATTGTATTACCCTGACTGTTCCTATTGTATATGGTGCAGTATCCGACATATAACCGTGGAGGTTGGAGCTGCTGTCCTGCGGGCAGCTGTCACAGAAGAACTGGCGGAAGGACATTGTGAAGTGGGGCCCAAAGAGCTCATGAACATGTCAAAAGTAAGAACTGATATTCAATCTTCCTTCCACAAAATACAAAAGCTCTGTTTTAAAACACTCACAAAACTTCTAAGCGATTTTGGATTTAAAAAGCAACCTCTAAATGTTACACTACTTTTGCATAAGGTCTGAACATGCCAAAGAGGACATTATTTAGCTGAAGACGTATACACACAGAAAATGCTATTCTAATAAACATCTAGTCGAACAGCCATAACCAAGAACCTTGAAAATTGCTTGGCTAGCTTTTGCTTATATGTCTTAGAAGAAAAATTGTAATTTTCCTGAAATCTATTTTGGTTTTTATCGTCCTGTTGCAGGAGGAGACTCTGGATTATGTGACTCGCAGCATGTGGTTCCCAGTTTATAGCCCTCTTGTTCATGAAAAATGAGGCTTGGTTTTGTATTATCATACACAGTTGGCTGTCGTGGGAGGCTATATTTTTTTTGCAGCTCATATATCAATAGGTCTGCAGCTAAGCAACTTATTCTTGGTCTGTCTTTCCTGGATTCATAGTTTACAAGCTCAGAGAAGTAGAAGGCAAAGAAGGGAACAGAAATAAGGCCCTCTTATTAAACTGAAAAGAAAGTAGAAGCCCATTTGTTTGAACAATGCATAATTACGTGACTAATATTAGTGCAATGTCTTTGTGTTAACTTTCTTTTACGTTAACTTCCTTCATGGTGATGCTCTCTAGTGTTTCTCTCTTTGTGGAAGTATCTCTCACTTCTACTCTAGCCTCTCTGAGCAATGGTGCTCATGGCACCTCCAAATGGTGAGGCACAAATGCCCACTCTTCTCTTCCATGCACCATTTCTCCCTTTTATAAACCCATGCAGAAACTCTCCAAATGAGAGCAACCACATGCCAACGAAGCCACGTGATGGCCAGCCAAAGAAGAAAAAAATCCTTCATCATTGCACCATGCATTGTCTCCCACCAAAGACATCATCATTCCAAGCAATATTATTGGCCACCAACTTCAACAATTGCGGCTTCCCATTTTAGTCTTCCTCTAACAGGTTGGCCACGTTATTGGTCATTAGAGTAGTCAAATTCACCAGTCTTTGCATGCGAAACTGCTTACTCTGCTCTGCTACTGCCTCCATCAAAATTCTTCAACAACGTGGGCACTTGCGTCACCACGCTCCCATTCTTTTCCTTGAAAATCTTAAAAACAAAAGAGTAGTCAAATTCACCAGTGAAACTGCTTACTCTGCTCTGCAACAGCCTCCACCAAAATTCTCCAACAACGTGGGCGCTTGCGTCACCACGCCGCCATTCTTTTCCTTGAAAATCTTAAAAACAAAAATCCAAACAAATATTGGTCCCTCTTTCACCACAATTCCCAATTACTTCTAAGAAAACACTAGAAGCATCCTACCTCCAGTATGTATATAGGAACAAAAGAATCAACAATTTTCTTCTTCATATTATTTATTTGAATATCAACCTCAAAATTCAAAGGCTTTCCAAGAACATTTCACTATAAAAGAAAAGAAGGCTCTCCTTCTGTTTAATACACATCTCAATTCTCACAGGCCGTCCCGTTTCGAAAGAAAACATTGCAAACATTCTTTCTCCAGTATAGGAACAAACGGCTTTTCAGGAACATTTCACTATAAAACAAAAGAAGCCTCCTTCTGTTTAGTCTCATTTCTCACAGACCGTCCCATATCGAATCATCAATGGCAGAAGCAACAAAGAGGTAGCACTTTGGAGTCCTTGTCACATCTCCATTCCCTCTCATTGTTTCTGCTTATCATTTTCGTGTTATGCATTTGGTGTTTTTGTTTTTCCAGGTATGCAGTTGTTACTGGGGCAAACAAAGGCATAGGATTGGAAACTGTGAGGCAATTGGCCTCAAATGGATTCACTGTAGTCTTAACTGCCAGAGATGAGAAGAGGGGTCTTGAAGCTGTTGAGAAACTCAAAGAGTCTGGCCTCTCAGGTCAAGTGGTTTTTCATCAACTTGATGTGGCTAACCCTGCTACTGTTGCTTCTTTGGCAGACTTCATCAAAACCCAGTTTGGGAAACTCGATATCTTGGTATGTATATGATCATAGCTGCAGGTTCTTGAAAAAGTTTGTCTTTTGAACTCTTAATCCGAACGCGATTTAATTGAAGGAGATGAAATATGGAATCATATAGAAAATGAAATTGGAGAATAAAAATAGCAAACCAAGTAATAACTAGCGTAATAATATCGTCAACAAGTTAATCTTTGAAATAATTAGAAGTCTTGGGGGTTTTGAAGAACAAAACAAGTTTCACATAACTACCAGTTGTGGAAGATTTTACTTTCAAATCCCTTTCTGTACAATTTACAAGTACCCTAGAAAGATCAGTGGCTGGAATTAAGGGGTTTGGCAAAGTAGCATAATTATTGTGCTTCTTTAATGGCATTGGCCTTTATGTTGGTATGGTTGTAAAAACAAAGAGATTGTCAGAGTACTCAGAGGAACTATCAGCTTTCTTTTCATTTCATTTTCTATAAAAAAAAATCTGTTCTTTTCTTTGCTAAAAGAAAACAAAAGTGAAACAGTTGGACTCTGCGCAGGTGAACAATGCAGGGATTTTTGGAAGCATATTAGATGGTGATGCTTTTAAAGCTGTAATAGCCTCTGGTGACGTGGTAAGTCTTTTGCATAATTTTTATCAATAGCTATAAAAAACTAAAAGCTTCAATGTATGTGCAAAAGTGAGAATTTAAACTGATCTGTGGTTTGGCAAACTTTAATCAACATTTTTCTTGTTTGGAGTGTTGTGTAAGTGGTGGGCAATAGGCACCATAATAATAAGTTTGTTTTTGCTGATACAGGAAAGACTAGGAGTTGATTTGATTAAACTAGTGACTGAAACTTATGAGTTCGCAGAAGAATGCGTACAAATAAACTATTATGGTGCTAAAAGAACAGCTGAAGCACTTATCCCACTCCTCCAGTTATCTGACTCACCGAGAATTGTTAATGTTTCGTCTGGCGCAGGGAAGTTAAACAACATACCAAGCCATTGGGCTAAAGGAGTTTTTACTGATGCCGAAAACCTAACAGAAGAGAGAGTAGATGAGGTATTGACTGAGTTTCTAAAAGATTTCAAGGAGGGTTCACTTGAAAGTAAGGGCTGGCCTTCTTCTATGCCTGCCTATATAGTCTCAAAAGCAGCGTTGAACGCATATACAAGGATTCTAGCAAAGAAGTACCTCAATTTTCGTATCAATTCGGTCTGCCCTGGCTTTGTCAAAACAGATATAAACTGCAATGTCGGCGTCTTGCCTGTCGAAGAAGGTGGTGCCAGGATTGTGAAGTTAGCCTTGCTGCCCAATGACGGCCCTACTGGCTCCTTCTTTGTTCACAATGAAGTGTCAGATCTTTGATTGAAGATGATCCATTTATGCAAATTTAATACGAGTCACTTATTGGGCTACTGTAATGTAATTTTAAGTATTTTGTTATGTATATTGATTGAAGGATCTAGTGCATTGTTTACATTTCTACTATTCATCTGGCTCTTGGACTCATATTATAATTTACAATGTTATTCAGTCAGAAATTCTATGTGATTGATGTCCGGTATTATCGATAATATATCAATAACATTTCGCTATATTTTGTTAGACATATGGATCTCGACACCCACTTTGTGTCCCTGCTGGGTTAGTTTGTAAACCTGACTCTCCTATTTGGAAACATACCTCTAATGGTTCTTTTAATGTCAAATCTGCTTACAGGGCTAACTGCAGGGACTCTTCAAGTATGGATGTTAGCTGGGCCTTTATTTGGACTTTAAAGGCTCCCCCTAAGATTAAATTTTTTCTTTGGTTACTCCATAAAGATCGGTTATTAACTAATGAACAAAGAGTCAGGCGGAGGTTGACTCTGCATGCAAATTGTGACATTTGTGGTGCCCCTGTGGAGAATGTGGATCATATTGTTAGGAATTGTTTATTGGCTTCTCTTGTTTGGCGCCAATCCTCCTTGCCTATAAGTCTGAACTTGTCGCAGGATGACAACTTGATTACCTGGGCTGGAAAAAATTTACACAACTACACCTTAATGGGTTACAGGGTTGTGTGGTCTACTCTGTTTGCTTTCACATGCTGGTTCCTTTGGAAATGGAGGAACCAGAAGATTTTCGATCCTGGGTTTGTCTTCCCTCCCAATCCCAACCACATAATTCTTTTGGCTGCTGCAGATTGGCAATTTGCCAACATTGATCTTGCTCATAAACCCATCCGCTCCATAGCCAATCTATCCTGGCAGTACCCTGCTGCAGGAGTGACTAAAATTAATACTGATGGTTGCCGAAATGGAGAGACTGGTCGCATTGCTGCTGGTGGTGTACTTAGATCAAGCTCTGGGATGTGGGTTAAAGGGTTTGCTGCTAATATTGGTTATGGTCAAGTATTAGATGCTGAGTTATGGGGTATCTACTATGGTCTCAAATCTGCTTGGGATATGGGCTGTAGTGTTGTTGTGCTGGAATCTGACTCAGCCGTTGCAGTGAATCTTCTCAATAAAGCTGTGGATGCCCTCCACCCTCTTGCTACCTTGTTATGGGGCTGCCAGGACTACATCAAACGATGTTGGGGCTGCTCTATTTCTCATGTCTATCGTGAATGCAATATGGTGGCTGATAGACTTGCTAACTTGGGCTCTTGCCTTGATTTGGGTCTCAGTTCCTTTCAAGTGCCCCCAGACAGTATTAGGTCCTCGTTTGTTGATGACCTGCGTGGTCTTTGTAGGCCTTGGGCCGTAGTTTAGTGTTTTCTTTTGGGCATGGCCCCGTCTTTTCACCAAAAAAAAAAAAAAACCATGATATTTTTCTTAAAATTCCACTAAATAAAACCCAATGTATCGAGCCAATCAGCACCCAGAATAAGATTGCATCTGGAGACGGGATGTAAATTGCAATCAGTAACAAGGGTAAAATCCTGTAGAGATACCTGGACCTGAGAAACGAAGCCCTTGGATTCAATGATATCATTATTGGCAACTTGGATCTGCTTGGGTAGTTGAGAATAGTCAATAGCGAGGCCCAATCTCTTGGCAATATATGGGTTTAACAAATTGTGGGTGGACTGTATCGATGAAAATCGTGAGGCCCAATTTGCCAATGGATCCCTGAAGAGCCTGTGAGCCCGTGAGCTCGTGGATGGTGAGAGAAGGTTCAGACTCCTCGTGGCAGGGGATAATCGTGGGTGTGCCATGTACGACTTCATGGGTAACGACCTCTTTGATTGATTCGTTAGAAACGTCCCAATCTGCGTCAATCATTAGAAGTTGAGGTCGTTTGCAGCGATAACTGGCCCGGAAAGGTTCATCATAGTTGAAGCAGAGATTTTTTTCACGTCGGTCCTGAACCTCTGCCTGAGTAAGCCTGCAAATGGGTGGTTGGCCGGAGGCAACAGATGGCGGAGGTGAGGCCGTTGGCAACCCTGGAAGGCGAGAGCTTGAGGCAGGAGAGAAACAAGTAGGAAATGGTCGAGGCTGGGTGCGTGTCGACTTCCGACAGTTATCAAAAGCGCGGGCCAACCTTTTGGCTGCATTGAGATTCGCCGGATGGTGAATCAGAACGTTATCCTGGAGATCAGTGGTTAAGCCGCCCACATAAACGACTTTAAGTTGTTCGTCATACCAGTCAAGGGCACGGCATGAAAGCTTCTTAAATTAGGTGTTGTAATCGTCGAGAGTGCCAGTCTGTTGAATGTGGGAAAGAGCGGAGTTAAAGTCCCAAGGAGTCACCACAACCAACGTGAGCAAGTGAGGCCTCTGAGAACGAAGTTTAAGAAGGATTCGGAAATCAGGTCTCGAACTAGCGCATCCAGAGTGCGGTGTCGTCAATCAAGTGTACGACTGCGACTTTAACCTGTAAATGAGGTGGAATCTCATGGAGGTCCAAGTAGCGCTCCGCAGTGGTTAGCCAAGTGTAGGGATCCTTTCAGTAAAACAGTAGAGTTCGATTTTTGGTGAAAGAAGGGCGGTGGTCTGGTATAGGCGGTGTGATGTGTATGAGGGGTTGTGGGGGAATGAGCTGAGTAACGGGGATGTGGGAATAAGGGGGTTGGGTAGTGTATGCGCTAGTGTACGGGGGTGGTGTGGTAAAAATAGCGGAGGGAAGGGTGGTATGAGGGGGGAAGATGCGAGGACGGAAGGGTTGGGAAGAGGATGAAGCGTGAGAAGAAACTTGGTGTGTGTGTTGGTAAGGTGGGGAAGATGAGAAGGATGGAGGGAGTGGTAGGCGAATAGAGCCAAAGGAGACGGGGGGAGGGGTTGGGAGGAGGGTGGAAGACGATGAACAACATCTAAAAGTGTTTGTTGGAAGGAGGATTGTTGCTGGGTAAGAGTCTCGAGAGCCTTGCCAAAGAAAGCCTAGAGAGCGGCGTTTTGAGCGGTGAGAGAGGAGAGGGTCTGCTGAACCTCAAGAATCTGCTCTCAGTGTAGAAATAAGTGTAGAGAAGAATTGATTATTCAATATTATCCAACTTAAATTGTAATAGCAAACTTGTGCAGTCAATTGTGTAAACAAAGGCGTAGGATTGGAAACTGTCAGGCAGTTGGCCTCAAAAGGATTCAATGTAGTCTTAACTGCCAGAGATGAGAAGAGGGGTCTTGAAGCTGTTGAGAAACTCAGAGAGTCTGGCCCCTCAGATCAAGTGATTTTTCATCAGCTTGTTGTGTCCATTTCCAATTGTGTACAATTTACAAGTACCCTAGAAAGATCGGTGGCTGTAATTAAGGGGTTTGACGAAGTAGCATACTCCTTGTTCCAATAAAGGCGAGAGAGTCTTGGGTAAGGCAGCCGCATGCAAAATCACACTCACAGAGAGTTAAAAGACCCAACATTCAAAGGAGTCTCTCACCCTTATTTAAGTGTGCTACCGGTGCGGCGGTTCTATCTAAGATTTTTTCCTATCAATGTATTATGTACTTTAAGTCCAATGTATGTATTTTAAATCTAGTTGGGATGAAAAACTAAGGGAGAAAAAAAGACAGAAAAGGTAGTGTGTATGTAAGATTCGTTTCTTATGAAACAAGTTGATCCATGTTTCTATAGGATATTGTTATTTACATTATTGTTCAAAGTCAAATTCACCAGTCTTTGCATGCGAAACTGCCCTGCAACTGCCTCCACCAAAATTCTCCAACAACGTGGGCACTTGCGTCACCACGCCCCCATTCTTTTCCTTGAAAATCTTAAAAAAACAAATCCAAACAAATCTTGGTCCCTCTTTCACCACAATTTCCAGTTACTTCTAGAATAGGAACAAAAGAATCAATCATTTTCTTCTTATTATTGATTTGAATATGAACCTCAAAATTCAACGGCTTTCCAAGAACATTACACTACAAAAGAAAAGAAGGCTCCTTCTGTTTAATACACATCTCAATTCTCACAGATCGTCCCGTTTCAAATCTATCAATGGCAGAAGCAACAAAGAGGTAGCACTTTAGACTTCTTTATGTTTTTTTTCCTTGTCCGATTTCCAATCCCTTTAATTGTTTTTGGTTCTATGAATTTGGTGTTTGTGTTTTCTTAGGTATGCAGTTGTTACTGGAGCAAACAAAGGCATAGGATTGGAAACTGTCAGGCAGTTGGCCTCAAATGGGTTCACCGTAGTCTTAACTGCCCGAGATGAGAAGAGGGGTCTTGAAGCTGTTGAGAAACTCAAGGAGTCTGGTCTCTCAGGTCAAGTGGTTTTTCATCAACTTGATGTGGCTAACCCTGCCAGTCTTGCTCCTTTGGCAGACTTCATCAAAACCCAGTTTGGGAAACTCGATATCTTGGTATGTATATGATCATAGCTACAGGTTTCTTGAAAAAGTTTCTGTCTTTTGAATCCAACTCTTAATCCGAATGCGATTTAGTTGAAGGAGATGAAATATGGAATTGGAAAATAAAAATAGCAAACCAAGTAATAACTAGCTTAACAATATCATCAACAAGTTAATCTTTGAAATAATTAGAAGTCTTGAGCTTTTTGAAGAACAAAACAAGTTTCACATAACTACCAGTCCGCCACTCTGTTTTTGTTTCTTTGAATCTTTTCATATATGATATGATCCCTTTCTGTACAATTTACAAGTACCCTACAAAGATCAGTGGCTGGAATTCAGGGGTTTGGCGAAGTGGCATAATTATTGGGCTTCTGTAAAGGGCATTGGCCTTTATGGTTGGTTTGGTTTTAACAACAAAGAGATTGTAAGAGTAATCAGGGCATCTATCAACTTTCTTTTCCTTTCATTTTCTATAAAGATTTTCTGTTCTTTTCTTTGCTAAAAGAAAACAGATAGTGAAACAGTTGGACTCTGCACAGGTGAACAATGCGGGGATTAGTGGAAGCATAGTAGATGGTGATGCTTTTAAAGCTGCTGTAGCCTCCGGTGCCACGGTAAGTCTTTTGCATAATTTTTATCAATAGCTATCAGAAACTAAAAGCTTCAATGTATGTGCCAAAGTGAGAATTTAAACTGATCTGTGGTTTGGCAAACTTTAATCAACATTTTTCTTGTTTGGGGTGGGTGTGTTAAGTGGTGGGCAATAGGCACCATAATAATAAGTTTGGTTTTTGCTGATACAGGAAAGAGGAGTTGATTGGAGTAAACTAGTGACTGAAACTTATGAGTTGACAGAAGAATGCTTGCAAATAAACTATTATGGTGCTAAAAGAACAGCTGAAGCACTTATCCCACTCCTCCAGTTATCCGATTCACCGAGAATCGTTAATGTTTCGTCTATCATGGGGAAGTTAAACAACATACCGAGCGGTTGGGCTAAAGGAGTTTTTACTGATGCAGAAAACCTAACAGAAGAGAGAGTAGATGAGGTATTGACAGAGCTTCTAAAAGACTTCAAGGAGGGTTCACTTGAAAGTAAAGGCTGGCCTTCTTCTATGCCTGCCTATATAGTCTCAAAAGCAGCACTGAACGCATATACAAGGATTCTAGCAAAGAAGTACCCCAATTTTCGTATCAATTCGGTCTGCCCTGGCTTTATCAAAACAGATATAAACTTCAATGTCGGCGTCTTGCCTGTCGAAGAAGGTGGTGCCAGGGTTGTGAAGTTAGCATTGCTACCCAGTGATGGCCCTACTGGCTCCTTCTTTGTTCACAATGAAGTGTCGGATCTCTGATTGAAGATGATCCATTTATGTAAATTTAATAAGATTCACTTATTGGGCATCATCTTGTACTGAAATGTAATTTTAAGTGTTTTGGGCACCAACAGTTCCTTTTGACGTTCTTTCTACATTCAATAAGAGCATTGGCGTATATGATGCTTTTTATCCATGTAAAATTTCACCGAAGCACACTGTTTAAATAACAAAAGAAAAGTTCAGGTGTTTCTGGCCTTACAGGAGCTGACTTGATGACCTTCCCCTTTTGTTTTAGGGGAAAGACTTAGCTGTCCTAGGGTGACTACTCCTTGTTCCTTCCTATAGAATCTTGTGATGTATGCGAGTTTCTTGCATTTTGAGAAGAGAGACAAAGCTGCCAAATAAAGGCTGAAAGAGTTTTGAGTAAGGCAGTCGCATCTGAAATCACAGACACAAGGAGTTTAGACCCACATTTAGGGGGTGTCACACTTTTTTGAGTGTGCTACCCCGTGCGGCTGTCCCGGCTAAGACTTTCTCCTATCACAAGGTTGTCACAAGTAAATTAATGCATATTTTTAAAATTCTAGTTCGGATTAAAAAATAAGGTTGTAAAATCTATAAAAAAAAAAAAGGGTTATAAAAAGACATAAAAGGAAGTTTGTCATTATGAGATCCATGTTTCTACCCCAGGCTTTTTGAAGTAATTAGAAGTCTTAGGCTTTTTGAGGAACAACACAAGTTTCACATAACTACCAGTTGTGGAAGATTTTACTTTCAAATCTAACTCTATGTCTGCCACTCTGTTTTTGTTTCTTGGAATCTTTTCATATATGATATGATCCCTTTCTGTACAATTTACAAGTACCCTTGAAAGATCAGTGGCTGGAATTAAGGGGTTTGGCAAAGTAGCATAATTATTGTGCTTCTTTAATGGCATTAGCCTTTATGGTTGGTATGGTTGTAAAAAGAAAGAGATTGTCAGAGTAGTCAGAGGATCTATCAACTTTCTTTTCATTTCATTTTCTATAAAAAAATCTGTCCTTTTCTTTGCTAAAAGAAAACAGAAAGTGAAACAGTTGGACTCTGAGGATCAGGGGTTCCATCACAGAGACAATAATTTTGACATCTTATTAACAGTCCGTCATTTAATTAAGAAATAAGTGTAGAGAAGAATTGATTATTCAATATTATCCAACTTAAATTGTAATAGCACATTCACAAACTTCTACAGTCAATTGTGCAAACAAAGGCATAGGATTGGAAACTGTCAGGCAGTTGGCCCCTCAGATCAAGTGATTTTTCATCAGCTTGATGTGGCTAACCCAGTAACACAGGAGAAGGTTAATATTAAATTAAGTGGTTTATCTATATCATGCTTGTTGTGTCCATTTCCAATTGTGTACAATTTACAAGTACCCTAGAAAGATCGGTGGCAGTAATTAAGGGGTTTGATGAAGTAGCATACTCCTTGTTCCAATAAGGGCGAGAGAGTCTTGGGTAAGGCAGCCGCATGCAAAATCAAACTCACAGAGAGTTAAGACCCAACATTCAGAGGAGTCTCTCACCCTTATCTAAGTGTGCTACCGGTGCGGCGGTTCTATCTAAGATTTTTTCCTATCAATGTATTATGTACTTTAAGTCCAATGTATGTATTTTAAATCTAGTTGGGATGAAAAACTAAGGGAGAAAAAAAGACAGAAAAGGTAGTGTGTATGTAAGATTCGTTTCTTATGAAACAAGTTGATCCATGTTTCTATAGGATATTGTTATTTACATTATTGTTCAAAGTCAAATTCACCAGTCTTTGCATGCGAAACTGCCCTCGCAACTGCCTCCACCAAAATTCTACAACAACGTGGGCACTTGCGTCACCACGCCCCCATTCTTTTCCTTGAAAATCTTTAAAAAAAAATCCAAACAAATCTTGGCCCCTCTTTCACCACAATTTAGCATCCTCCCTCCAGTATGTATATAGGAACAAAAGAATCAATCATTTTCTTCTTATTATTGATTTGAATATGAACCTCAAAATTCAACGGCTTTCCAAGAACATTACACTATAAAAGAAAAGCAACGGCTTTCCAAGAACATTACATCTCAATTCTCACAGATCGTCCCGTTTCGAATCTATCAATGGCAGAAGCAACAAAGAGGTAGCACTTTAGACTTCTTTTATGTTTTTTTTCCTTGTCCGATTTCCAATCCCTTTAATTGTTTTTGTTTCTATGAATTTGGTGTTTGTGTTTTCTTAGGTATGCAGTTGTTACTGGAGCAAACAAAGGCATAGGATTGGAAACTGTCAGGCAGTTGGCCTCAAATGGGTTCACCGTAGTCTTAACTGCCCGAGATGAGACGAGGGGTCTTGAAGCTGTTGAGAAACTCAAAGAGTCTGGTCTCTCAGGTCAAGTGGTTTTTCATCAACTTGATGTGGCTAACCCTGCTACTGTTGCTTCTTTGGCAGACTTCATCAAAACCCAGTTTGGGAAACTCGATATCTTGGTATGTATATGATCATAGCTACAGGTTTCTTGAAAAAGTTTCTGTCTTTTGAATCCAACTCTTAATCCGAATGCGATTTAGTTGAAGGAGATGAAATATGGAATTGGAAAATAAAAATAGCAAACCAAGTAATAACTAGCTTAACAATATCATCAACAAGTTAATCTTTGAAATAATTAGAAGTCTTAAGCTTTTTGAAGAACAAAACAAGTTTCACATAACTACCAGTCTGCCACTCTGTTTTTGTTTCTTTGAATCTTTTCATATATGATATGATCCCTTTCTGTACAATTTACAAGTACCCTTGAAAGATCAGTGGCTGGAATTAAGGGGTTTGGCAAAGTAGCATAATTATTGTGCTTCTTTAATGGCATTAGCCTTTATGGTTGGTATGGTTGTAAAAACAAAGAGATTGTCAGAGTAGTCAGAGGATCTATCAACTTTCTTTTCATTTCATTTTCTATAAAAAAAAATCTGTTCTTTTCTTTGCTAAAAGAAAACAGAAAGTGAAACAGTTGGACTCTGCACAGGTGAACAATGCAGGGATTTTTGGAAGCATATTCGATGGTGATGCTTTTAAAGCTGTAATAGCCTCTGGTGCCGTGGTAAGTCTTTTGCATAATTTTTATCAATAGCTAGCTATCAAAAACTAAAAGCTTCAATGTATGTGCCAAAGTGAGAATTTAAACTGATCTGTGGTTTGGCAAACTTTAATCAACATTTTTCTTGTTTGGAGTGTTGTGTAAATGGTGGGCAATAGGCACCATAATAGTAAGTTTGTTTTTGCTGATACAGGAAAGAGGAGAAGTTGATTTGAGTAAACTAGTGACTGAAACTTATGAGTTGACAGAAGAATGCTTGCAAATAAACTATTATGGTGCTAAAAGAACAGCTGAAGCACTTATCCCACTCCTCCAGTTATCCGATTCACCGAGAATCGTTAATGTTTCGTCTATCATGGGGAAGTTAAACAACATACCGAGCGGTTGGGCTAAAGGAGTTTTTACTGATGCAGAAAACCTAACAGAAGAGAGAGTAGATGAGGTACTAACAGAGCTTCTAAAAGACTTCAAGGAGGGTTCACTTGAAAGTAAGGGCTGGCCTTCTTCTATGCCTGCCTATACAGTCTCAAAAGCAGCACTAAACGCATATACAAGGATTCTAGCAAAGAAGTACCCCAATTTTCGTATCAATTCGGTTTGCCCTGGCTTTGTCAAAACAGATATAAACTTCAACGCCGGCGTCTTGCCTGTCGAAGAAGGTGGTGCCAGGGTTGTGAAGTTAGCATTGCTGCCCAATGATGGCCCTACTGGCTCCTTCTTTGTTCACAATGAAGTGTCAGATCTTTGATTGAAGATGATCCATTTATGCGAATTTAATACGAGTCACTTATTGGGCCACATCTTGTGCGCTATTATTCAGTCAGAAATTCTATGTGATTAATGTCCGGTATTATCGATAGTATATCAATAACATTTCTATATATTTTGTTAGACATAATTTTGACACCTTATTGACAGTCTGTCATTTAATTAAAAATTAAATGTAGAGAGGATTTGATTATTCAATATTATCCAACTTAAGTTGTAATAGAACAATCACAAAGAGTTATGACCCACATTCAGAGGAATCTCACCCTTATCTAATTGTGCTACCGGTGCAGCGGTTTTATCTAAGATTTTTCCCTATCAAAAGGTGAAAGTTGTCACAAGTAAATTAATATCCATGTTTCTACTAGGATATTATTAGTCAAATAGAAATTTTCTGCGCAAGTTGAAAGTCTTGCATGCGAAACTGCTTGCCACTGCCTCCACAAAAATTCTTTGACAACGTGAGCAATTGCGTCACCATGCCCCATTATTTTCCTTAAAAATCTTCAAAACAAAAATCCAAACAAATCTTGGTCCCTCTTTAACCACAATATCCAATTACTGCTAGAAAACATCAGAACCATCCTCCCTCCAGTATGTATATAGGAACAAAAGAACCAACAATTTTCATCATCTTCTTATTATTGATCTGATATAATCCCCAGAATTCAAAGGCTTTTCAAGAACATTTCACTATAAAAGAAAAGAAGGCTCTTGCTGTTTAATACACATCTCAATTTTCACAGACCGTCCCTTTTCGAATCTATCAATGGCAGAAGTAACAAATAGGGAGCACTTTAAAGTACTGCTTTCATAACAATTTCTCACTATTTTTTGTTTTCTCAGGTATGCAGTTATTTGTGGAGCAAACAAAGGCATAGGATTGGAATCTGTCAGGCAGTTGGCCTCAAATGGATTTATTGTAGTCTTGACTACCAGAGATGGAAAGAGGGGTCTTGAAGCTGTTGAGAAACTCAAGGAGTTTGACCTCTCTGGTCGAGTGGTTTTTCATCAACTTGATGTAGCTAACCCTGGTACTGTTGCTTCCTTGGCAGACTTCATCAAAACCCAGTTTGGGAAACTCGATATCTTGGTATGTATATGATCATAGCTGCAGGTTTCTTGAAAATGTTTCTGTCTTTTGAATCTAACTCTTAATCCAAATGCGATTTTGTTGAAGGAATTGGAGAATAAAAGTAGCAAACCATCTACAACTCTGTTTTTGTTTCTTGGAATTCTTTCATATATGATATGATCCCTTTCTGTACAATTTACAAGTACCCTATAAAGATCAGTGGCTGGAGTTAAGGGATTTGGAAAAGTAGCATGGTTGGTTTGGTTGTAAAACAAAGAGATTATCCAAGTAATCAGAGGATCTATCAACTTTCTTTTCATTTCGTTTCTATAAAAAATGTTCTGTTCTTTTCTTTGCTAAAAACAGATAGTGAAACAGTTGGACTCTGCACAGGTGAACAATGCAGGGATTTTTGGAAGCATAGTAGATGTTGATACTTTTAAAGCTGCTGTAGCCTCCGGTGCCATGGTAAGTCTTTTGCATAATTTTATCAATAGCTATCAAAAACTAAAAGCTTCACTCTATATGCCAAAGTGAGAATTTAAAATGATCTGTGATTTGGCAAACTTTAATCAACATTTTTCTTGTTTGGAGTGTTGTGTAAGTGGTGGGCAATAGGCACCATAATAATAAGTTTGTTTTTGCTGATACAGGAAAGAGGAGAAGTTGATTTGAGTAAACTAGTGACTGAAACTTATGAGTTAACAGAAGAATGCTTGCAAATAAACTATTATGGTGCTAAAAGAACAGCTGAAGCACTTATCCCACTCCTCCAGTTAACCGACTCACCGAGAATTGTTAATGTTTCGTCTGGCTTGGGGAAGTTAAACAACATACCAAGCGATTGGGCTAGAGGAGTTTTTTCAAGTACCCTAAAAAGATCGGTGGCTGTAATTAGTGATTTTTTAAAAATTTTGGGAAGCCCAACCCGTTTGGTAAACTATAAGAAAATCATTTATTGTTAAAAATTGCTGTGAGAGAAAGCTATAAGGGAAAGCAGCTAATGAGGTGCTTTCATTTTCTGATTATGCAGGAATCAGTTTCGAAGAGGCGCTAGGTTTAATGATTATGCGAGAATCATTTTCTGATTACGCAGGAATTAGTACCAACAACATTCTTAACAAAAAGTTTACCAAACGCCAAACTGCTTTCTCTCACAGCTGATTTCTCTCACAGCAAATCTGACAGCGATTATTTTAACAGCACAGTAATGCCAAACTGGCCCGAAGTAGCATACTCCTTGTTCCAATAAGGGCGAGAGAGTCTTTGGGTAAGGCAGCCGCATGCGAAATCACACTCACAGAGAGTTAAGACCCACATTCAGAGGAGTCTCTCAACCTTATCTAATTGTCTACCGGTGCGGCGGTTCTATTTAAGATTTTTTCCCATCAATGTATGTACTTTAAGTTCAATGTATGTATTTTAATTTTTAAGTCTAGTGGGGATGAAAAAGTAAGGGAGAAAAAGACAGAAAAGGTGGTGTGTACGTAAGATTTGTTTCTTGTGAAACAAGTTGTTCCATATTTCTATAGGATATTATTACTTACTCTGCCCTGCAACTGCCTCCACCAAAATTCTCCAACAACGTGGGCACTTGCGTCACCACGCCCATTCTTTTCCTTGAAAATCTTATAAAAAAAATCCAAACAAATCTTGGTCCATGTCAAACTTTGATCACCATTTTTCTTGTTGGGGGTGGGTGTAAGTAGTTTGCAATAGCCACCATAATAAGCTTGTTCTTACTGATGCAGGAAAGAGGAGAAGTTGATTGGAGTAAATTAACGACAGAAACTTATGAGTTGGCAGAAGAATGCTTGCAAATAAACTACTATGGTGCTAAAAGAACAGCTGAAACACTTATCCCACTCCTCCAGTTATCTGACTCACCGAGAATTGTTAATGTTTCGTCTGGCTTGGGGAAGTTAAACAACATACCAAATGATTGGGCTAAAGGAGTTTTTACTGATGCTGATAACCTAACAGAAGAGGGAGTAGATGAGGTACTGACTGAGCTTCTAAAAGCCTTCAAGGAGGGTTCACTTGAAAGTAAGGGCTGGCCTTCTTCTTTTTCTGCCTATATAGTCTCAAAAGCTGCACTGAACGCATATACAAGGATTCTAGCAAAGAAGTACCCCGATATTCGTATCAATTCGGTATGCCCTGGCTTTGTCAAAACCGATCTAAACTCCAATGCCGGCGTCTTGCCTGTCAAAGAAGGTGGTGCCAGAGTTGTGAGGACAGCATTGCTGCCCAATGATGGCCCTTCTGGCTCCTTCTTTGTTCAGTATGAAGTGTCAGATATTTGATTGAAGATGATCCATTTGTGCAAATTTAATACATGTCACTTGTTGGGCAGCATCTTGAACTTTCATTTATACAATTAGTTGATGGTTGAGTTGAGTTAAGCACTTGCGTCACCACTCCCATTCTTTTCCTTCTAGAAAACGTTATAGAAGCATCCTTAATCCAGTAATTATATAGGAACAAACGAATCAAAAAATTTCTTCTTCTCATTATTATTTATTTGAATATAGACCACAAAATTCAAAGGCTTTCCAAGAATTACACTATAAAAGAAAGGAAGGCTCCTTCTGTTTAATACACATCTCAATTCTCACAGACCGTGCCATTTCTAATATATCAATGGCAGAAGCAACAAAGAGGTAGCACTTTAAAGTCCTTTATGCTTTGAACTACTTTTTGTGTTATGAATTTGGTGTTTGTGTTTTCTCAGGTATGCAGTTGTTACTGGAGCAAACAAAGGCATAGGATTGGAAACTGTGAGGCAATTGGCCTCAAATGGATTCACTGTAGTCTTAACTGCCAGAGATGAGAAAAGGGGTCTTGAAGCTGTTGAGAAACTCAAAGAATCTGGCCTCTCAGGTCAAGTGGTTTTTCATCAACTTGATGTGGCTAACCCTACTACTGTTGCTTCCTTGGCAGAGTACATCAAAACCCAGTTTGGAAAACTCGATATCTTGGTATGTGTATGATCATAGCTGCAGGTTTCTTGAAAAAGTTTCTGTCTTTTGAAATAATTATAAGTCTTAGGCTTACACAATATCCACACAGGTGGAGGTTATATTAGAGACTGTAAAATTGAGTGGCTGATCCAAATCCAACTCTATGTCTTTCCATTGTTTTTCGTTTTTTTTTTGGGTGGAATTCTTTCCATATATATATATGCTATATGATCCCTCTCTGTACAATTTAAAAGCACCCTAGAAAGATCAGTGGCTGGAGTTAAGGGGTTCGGGAAAAGCATAATTATTGGCCTTTATGGTTGGTTTGGTTGTAACAACAAAAGAGATTTATCCAAGTAATCAGAGGATCTACCTACTTCCAATTAATTTCATTTTCTAGGAAAAATTTCAGTTCTTTTCTTTGCTAAAAGAAAGCAAATAGTGAAACAGTTGGACTCTGCACAGGTGAACAATGCAGGGATTACTGGAAGCCAAGTAGACGGTGATGCTCTTAAAGCTGTAGCAGACACTGGTGCCGTGGTAAGTCTTTTGCATAATTTTTATCAATAGCTATCAAAAACAAAAAGCGTCAATGTATGTGCTTAATATGAATATAAGTTCTCTTGCTGTCTTCCTCTGTCATATTTTCATTGTGATGTGCATGTCAAACTTTGATCACCATTTTTCTTGTTTGGGGTGGGTGTAAGCAGTTGGCTATAGCCACCATAATAAGTTTGTTCTTACTGATGCAGGAAAGAGGAGAAGTTGATTGGAGTAAATTAACGACAGAAACTTATGAGTTGGCAGAAGAATGCTTGCAAATAAACTACTATGGTGCTAAAAGAACAGCTGAAGCACTTATCCCACTCCTCCAGTTATCTGACTCACCGAGAATTGTTAATGTTTCCGCTTCCTTGGGGAAGTTAAAGAACATACCAAGTGATTGGGCTAAAGGAGTTTTTACTGATGCTGATAACCTAACAGAAGAGGGAGTAGGTGAGGTATTGACTGAGCTTCTAAAAGCCTTCAAGGAGGGTTCACTTGAAAGTAAAGGCTGGCCTTCTTCTTTGTCTGCCTATATAGTCTCAAAAGCTGCACTGAACGCATATACAAGGATTCTAGCAAAGAAGTACCCCGATATTCGTATCAATTCGGTATGCCCTGGCTTTGTCAAAACCGATCTAAACTCCAATGCCGGCGTCTTGCCTGTCAAAGAAGGTGGTGCCAGAGTTGTGAGGACAGCATTGCTGCCCAATGATGGCCCTTCTGGCTCCTTCTTTGTTCAGTATGAAGTGTCAGATCTTTGATTGAAGATCATCCATTTGTGCAAATTTAATACATGTCAATTGTTGGGCAGCATCTTGAACTTGGATGTAATTTAAGTATATTTGGAACCAGCAGCAGATCCTTTTTAAGTTCTTTCTACATTCAATAAGAGGATGGCATATATGATGCTTATTGTTGTAGCCATATTCAGTTGTGCAACATTCTCTATCTAATAGTCCTCCATGATTGCATCTCTGTGAAATGATCTCCCACATCTGGAATTGATTGAAGGATCTAGTGCATTGTTTGTTTACATTTCTACTATTCATCTGGCTCTTGAACTCATTATCATTTACGTTGTTATTCAGTCAGAAATTCTATGTGATTGATGTCCATCCTTTGATCGATATTATCGATAGTATATTGATAACATTTCGGTATATTTTGTTAGACATATGTCAGAGACAATAATAGTTAAATTCACCAATCTTGCCGGCGAAACTGCTTCAGACTTGGCATGTGGTTGATGGTTGAGTTAAGCTATCTCTGCTCTGCCAGCACCAAAATGCTTAAACAGTGGGAGCACTTGCGTCACCACCCCCATTCTTTTCCTTAATTCTTAAAAGAAAAATCCAAACAAATGTTGTTTTCCCATCAGATTACTTCTAGGAAACATTCGAAGCAAGCATCCTCCCTCCAGTATAGGAACAAACGAGTCTTAACAATTTTCTTGCTCTTATTATTATTTATTTGAATATAAAACATGAAATGCAAAGGTTTTCCAATAACATTATATTACAACCCAAAAGAAGGCTCCTTCTGTTATTCTCATTTCTCACAGAAAGACAATCCCATAAACGAATCAGCAATGGCAGAAGCAATAAAGAGGTGGCACCTTAGAGTCCATACCCTTTGATTGTTACTTCTATAACAATTTCTCACTCTTGTTTTTGTTTCCTTTTTGCTTTCCTATTTTTGTTATGAAATTGGTGTTTTTTCTTTTGTTTTTCCTGGTATGCAGTTGTTACTGGGGCAAACAAAGGCATAGGATTGGAAACTGTCAGGCAGTTGGCCTCAAAAGGATTCACTGTAGTCTTAACTGCCAGAGATGAGAAGAGGGGTCTTGAAGCTGTTGAGAAACTCATAGAGTCTGGCCTCTCAGGTCAAGTGGTTTTTCATCAACTTGATGTGGCTAACCCTGCTAGTCTTGCTCCTTTGGCAGACTTCATCAAAACCCAGTTTGGGAAACTCGATATCTTGGTATGTATGATCATAGCTGCAGGGTTAATGTAAAATTGAGTGATCTATATCATGCTTATTGTGTCCACTTCCAGTTGTGGAAGATTTTACTTTGAAGTCTAAATCTAACTCTAACTATATGAAAGATCAGTGGCTGGAATTAAGGGGTTTGACAAAGTAGCATACTGATTGGCCTTCTTTGAAGGGCATTGGTTGGTTATAGCAGATAGTTTATCCAAGTAATCAAAGCATCTACCAACTTTCTTTGAAGGGCATTGGTTGGTTATAGCAGATTGTTTTTTTCTTTGCTTTTGTTTGCAAAAGTAAAACAAATAGTGAAACAGTTGGACTCTGCACAGGTGAACAATGCCGGTATTGGTGGAAGCACAGCAGATCCTGATGCCTTTAGAGCTGTAGTAGAGTCTGGTGCCTTTGTAAGTCTTTCAGATAATTCTTATCAATAGCTACCAAAAACTTAAAGCTTTAATGTATGTGCTTAATGTGAAAATTTAAATTGATCTGTGGTTTGGCTTAATGCTATGGCAATTAGTAGGGGAAATGATCTGTGTAACATCACCAGTCCGGTATGATTCGGGTGGGTGTGTAAGTAGTTGGCAATAGCCACCATAATAAGTTTGTTCTTACTGATGCAGGGAAGAGGTGAAGTTGATTGGAGTAAACTAAATACTGAAACTTATGAGTTGACAGAAGAATGCTTGCAAATAAACTATTATGGTGCTAAAAGAACAGCTGAAGCACTTATCCCACTCCTCCAGTCATCTGATTCACCGAGAATTGTTAATGTTTCGTCTTTCATGGGGAAGTTAAACAACATACCGAGCGGTTGGGCTAAAGGAGTTTTTACTGATGCAGAAAACCTAACAGAAGCGAGACTAGATGAGGTACTGACTGAGCTTTTAAAAGACTTCAAGGAGGGTTCCCTTGAAAGTAAGGGCTTTCCTTCTTCTTTGTCAGCCTATATAGTCTCAAAAGCTGCACTGAACGCATATACAAGGTTTCTAGCAAAGAAGTACCCCACTTTTCGTATCAATTCGGTCTGCCCTGGCTTTGTCAAAACAGATATAAACTACAATATCGGTGTCCTACCTGTCGAAGAAGGCTCTGCAAAGGTTGTGAAGTTAGCATTGGTGCCCAATGATGGCCCTTCTGGCTCCTTCTTTGTTCAGTATGAAGTGTCAGATTTTTAATTGAAGACACATGATCCATTTATGCAAATTAAATACATGTTATTTATTTGGCAGGATCTTGAATTTTTAATGTAACAAAGTATATTTGGACCCAGCACCAGATCCTTTTTAAGTTCTTTCTACATTCAATATGACTCGAGGACGATATACAATAGTCCTGTATGATTGCATCTCTGTGAAATTATCTTCCACACATCTGGAATTGATTGAAGGATCTAATACATTGCTTGTTTACATTTCTACTTATCAACTGGCTTTTGAACCCATATTATCATTTACATTATTATTCAACCAGAAATTCTATGTGATTGATATCCGTCCTTTGATCGATACTATCGATAACATTTCGGTGTATTTAGTTATGGATATGTTGACAACAATTATATTAACACTTTATCGACAATCCATCATTAATTAAGAAATGACGTAGGTGTAGAGAATTGATTATCCAACAATCCGTGAATCCGTCAATATTATTATTGTATTCAATTGTTTAATAAAGAAAAAGACAATTGGCATGTTCAACGCAAAACTACTTAAGACTTTTCATGTTATACCTTTTTTGCCTATATACTCCAACGGTGGTTGAACCCCTTGGCCCCCATTGGGGAAGCCCTTGTGAACATGTTGAAAGGTCTCTCTGGTCTGTCAACGTGTGCACTTGCGTCACTACCTTCATCCTTTTCCTTAATATTCCAAACAAAAATCCAAGCAAATGTTGTTCCATCTTTCCCATTCAATGACTTCTAGAAAACATTGCAAACATTCTTTCTCCAGTATAGGAACAAACGGCTTTTCAGGAACATTTCACTATAAAACAAAAGAAGCCTCCTTCTGTTTAGTCTCATTTCTCACAGACCGTCCCATATCGAATCATCAATGGCAGAAGCAACAAAGAGGGAGCACTTTAGAGTCCTTTACGCTTTGGTTCCTTGTCACATCTCCATTCCCTCTCATTGTTTCTGCTTATCATTTTCGTGTGATGCATTTGGTGTTTTTGTTTTTCCAGGTATGCAGTTGTTACTGGGGCAAACAAAGGCATAGGATTGGAAACTGTGAGGCAATTGGCCTCAAATGGATTCACTGTAGTCTTAACTGCCAGAGATGAGAAAAGGGGTCTTGAAGCTGCTGAGAAGCTCGAAGAGTCTGGCCTCTCAGGTCAAGTGGTTTTTCAACAACTTGATGTGGCTAACCCTGCTACTGCTGCTTCCTTGGCAGAGTTCATCAAAACCCAGTTTGGGAAACTCGATATCTTGGTATGTATATGATCATAGCTGCAGGTTTCTTGAAAAATTTTTGGTCTTTTGAAATAATTAGAAGTCTCAGGCTTACACAATATCCACACAGGTGAAGGTTACATTAGAGACTGTAGAATTGATATGAACCCTTCCAGTTATGGAAGATTTTACTTTCAAGTCTAACTATATGATATGAACCCTCTGTACAATTTGTAAGTACCCTAGAAAGATCAGTGGCTGGAGTTAAGGGATTTGGCAATGCCTTGATGGTTGGTTATAGAACCAAATAGATTATCTTAGTAACCCGAGGATCTACCAACTTTCTTTTAATTGCATTTTCTACATTTTTCTTTTCTTCGCTAAATTAAAATAGATAGTGAGACAGTTGGCTCTGCACAGGTGAACAATGCAGGGATTGGTGGAGCCATAGGAGATGCTGATGCCTATATAGCTTTAGTAAAGTCTTTGGAAATGGTAAGTCTTTCGAATTAATTTTTTCAATTGCTTTTCAATGTATGGCTATAATGTGGATTTGGGAGTGTGCTATTTTGCCTCTGCGCCTATCTGGATTAGCTCCTTCTTGATTGATGATATGTTAGGGGTTGTTAGGACCCGTTTAGTTTGTGCTGACAGTTTGTAGTCTGTTTGTTTTGGGGTTTTGATCCCCCCTAGTTCATAAAATAAAAAAAACAAAAAAAAACGCTTCAACTGTGCTAATGTGAAATTTTCAATTGATCTCTGGTTTGGCCAAAGATCTGTTTCGCTTAATGCTTTGCCGTTTTTAGTAGGAGAGATGATCTGATTAATTGATTTAGGAGTTTTCCAATAAGCTGCTACCTTCTGGATTTACTTATCTCACCTGATAAATCTTTCTGCACTCTATCCATAATTTTTTTTTTAAAGCCTTTTGCTAATAAATAAAATAAATTATGCATATATGTTGTCATGCTTTCTTCCTCTCTAGCTTGAAAAATTTTCATTGTGATGTTCATGTCAAACTTTGGTCAACATTTTTCTTGTTTGTGGTGGGTGTGGGCTATAGAGACCATAATAATAAGTTTGTTCTTACTGATACAGGGGAGAGGAGTAGTTGGTAGTAAACTAATGACTGAAACTTATGAGTTAACAGAAGAATGCTTGCAAATAAACTATTATGGTGCTAAAAGAACAGCTGAAGCACTTATCCCACTCCTCCAGTTATCTGACTCACCGAGAATTGTCAATGTTTCGTCTTATTTGGGGAAGTTAATGCATATACCAAGCCATTGGGCTAAAGGAGTTTTTACAGATGCCGAAAACCTAACAGAAGAAAGAATAGATGATGTACTGAGTGAGCTTCTAAAAGACTTCAAGGAGGGTTCACTTGAAAGTAAGGGCTGGCCTTCTCCTTTGTCTGCCTATGTAGTCTCAAAAGCTGCACTGAATGCATATACAAGGATTCTAGCAAAGAAGTACCCCACTTTTCGTATCAATTCGTTATGCCCTGGCTCTGTCAAAACAGATATAAACTACAATGCCGGTGTCCTACCTATCGAAGAAGGGGCTGCAAGGGTTATGAAGTTAGCATTGGTGCCCAATGATGGCCCTTCTGGCTCCTTCTTTGTTCAGTATGAAGTGTCAGATTTTTAATTGAAGATGATCCATTTATGCAAATTAAATACATGCCATTTATTTGGCAGGATCTTGAACTTTTAATGTAACAAAGTATATTTGGACCCTGCAACAAATCCTTTTTAAGTTCTTTCTACATTCAATATGACTCGAGGATGGGATAAAATCGAAAGTTGTGTATGATTGCATCTCTATGAAATGATCTTCCACATCTGGAATTGATTGAAGGATCGAATACATTGCTTGTTTACATTTTCTACTTATCAAATGGCTCTTGAACCCATATTATCATTTACATTATTATAATCAGAAATTCTATGCGATTGATGTCCATCCTTTGATCGAAATTATCGATATCATTTCGGTATATACTTCTTATGGACTTGTTGACAACAATTATATTAACACGTTATTGACAATCCGTTATTAATTCAGAAATGACGTAGGTGTATAGAAGAATTGAACATTCAATTGTTTAATAAAGAAAAAGAGAACATGGGTCTCTTTGACAATCATGTTATTGGATTGGAGCAGCCAAATTCACCAATGTTAATTGCAAAACTACTTGAGACTTGGCATGTAATGAACAACGTGGGCACTTGCGTCACTAGCCCCCTCTTTTTCCTTAATACTCCAAAACAAAAATCCAAGCAAATGTTGTTCCATCTTACCCATTCAATGACTTCTAGAAAACATAGGAACAAACGAATCTATTTGAATATAATACTCAAAATACAAAGGCTTTCCAACAACTTTACGTTATAAGTCCAATTATGAGAAGAGATTTTGGGTGCAATCTATGCAGAAATTATTGTTGATCCAAGTCCTTTGACTTTTGCGCCACATAAGATTACATGCCTATTTCAATTTATTGATATTTACTTTTTTTTAATTTTTTTTATTTTTGTTCCAGTTATGCACCTAAAACATAAATAAGGTAAATTATGAATTCCTAAAACTGGTAAGTTATTGATTTGTAGGATATTAATTATCATATTTGATTTGAATTTAATTGCAAATCTATTTATTGAATTCTGAAATTTTCCCAAGGTATACCGACATCAAAATTTGTAATAAGAGTTCATAAAAACTTCATACCTTAACAATAGGTAAGGTACCATGCATACACCTCGTATGCAGTATGCAGCATAAATTACCTCTAGTCTAGGTAGTTATACCCTTTAGCCCAGCTAATTGAACTCATATAATATCTTAGTATGGATCTTTAAACTCAACTGAGATAAAAATTCATACAAAATTTCTTTGGAAAAAAAAAAAAAAAAACACTATTACATGGAAGACATGTACGTATGTATATAAATATGAACCTCCAGAAAAAACCACTTAAGAAAACTCAAGGAAAAAACACTTACCTGTAAGGTAGGTACATATGTACCTGTATGTATTAACATTATTTACCTGTATGTCAGGTACATAATTTAATGTGGGTGCTTGTCTGATCGATTGGTATAATATGTGAGTATTTACTTTTTATTGATTAAATTGTATTTTATCTATTTATTAGGAATATTATCAAGGAAAAAGAATTCAAAATTCAAAATTCAAAATTCAAAATTTGGAATTCAATTTCAAGGAAATAATGCATTAAATTTAGATTTTCAATGTGTTTTCCTTATTTACCTTAAAGGGTAAAATCGACACAACAAAAAAGTAATAAATGTCAAAGGACCTACATCTAAAACCAAAAACATGAGGACTAGACCCAATGACAGCTAATCGTTTTGGACCTAAATCTAAGAACCCCTAAAAGAAAAGAAGGCTCCTTCTGTTTAGTCTCATTTCTTACCCTTGCTTTTTTCCTAGAAAGATACATTTTGGCATTTACCATCTTCTTATTCATTCATATTGTGTATGCAATGAGGTCATATCTCAAAAATAAAAATGTTGTGCATGCAATGATGTCATATCTCACTATATCTCACCAAACCCAGTTATTAACTTATTATTACTTTCATGACCAAAAAAAAAAAAGAAGTTACTTTTACGTTTTTCTTTTTTTGCGATACCACTTTTTTGTCAATAAGGGCAAAATTGTACTTTCCTAAATCCAACCTAACAAAGGCCATAATGGGCTTACTCATTGACTAAAAAATAACAAAAATATAAAATCACTTCAGCAGGATCCAAAAGAATATAGGCTTTTTAGAAGATCTTAATTAGTGCACTTTTCACATGTAAGCCCATAAATAGGGCCCGAAATAAAGAAGAATTTTACAATACATCTTAGGAAAATCTCCATTTGCCTTTCGGAATCAAAAT